GCCCCGCCCCGCCCCTCGGCCCAGCCCGCGCCCCGCCTCCTGCAGAGGTGTTCCGCCCACGGGAGCGTCGCTGTCGCGATGACGTAGCTGGCGCAGGCGCACTCCGTCGGCGACGCCGAGGCGCTGCTGGATCTGTGGGCGGAGGTGCGTGGTGACGGCTCTTGGAGTGTGAGAGAAGAGAGGGAGACCGGGGGTCTAGAAGAAAAAGAGGAGAGGGAAAGTCCAACAAGCCTGTCCTTCAGGTACTGGGGTAAAGGGCGGTATCCCGCCCCCTTTCTGGGCTCTTCCTGACGAGGCCGGTCGGCTGTCCCGCAGGGAACGTTGGATTTCCTTTGGGGAGGCATTGCCCGGCACCCAGGTGTAGAAGTTTAAGGGTTAAGTTGGCGGGGCTGAGTGGGTTCCTTTCCTTCAAGCTCACATCATTGGGGGACGTAATTTACTTGGCAAAGGAACACGAAATCTAGAGACCTGGATTGTACTTTTATTGAGTAGGGGCGGGCGGGAGCTGTGGCTTAATCTCTTCGTCAGTAAAACGAGATGGTCGGACTCGCTATACAATTTCTAAGGCCCTTTTCAGAGCTACCATTCTATGATTCCTGTCTCCAAGGATGTTAAGTTTTATCATACTCCTATACTCCTGGATGGGAAGAAATCTTTTGACTAAAGAACATACTTTAAACCTTGGTTGGGGCACAGTGCTGTATAGTCCCCTTGCTTTCATTAGGATTGACAGCGGGTAGAATTTGTTTGCAAGTAAGATTTATGCATTGCTAGTATTCCAAATAGATTCATTTTAATTTCGCTAGAAAATCGGAATATCTGTTTTCCTAGTGTTAGCTCTGTCTCTCATAGACGCACATGTTTTGACGCTTAATTTCTTGGCTCATTTCGAAAGTAAATCCCCAAAGGGTATGGAAGTTGATGGTTTTGTGTTTTGTTACTTTACACCCCCCCCCCTTTTTCTTTTTTTCAGCATTTTTATGGTCATCTGCACCTTCTGACTCGGAAAAGATGGTCAACGTCTTGAAAGGAGTGCTTATAGAATGGTTAGTGTTTTTTTTTTGAGGGGAGGAGGTAATTAGGTCTATTTAATGGAGGTACTGGGGATTGAATCTGGAACCTTGTGCATGCTAAGCTAAGCATGCACTCTTATGACTGAGTTGTACCCTCCCTGCTAAGTGGTTAGTAGTTTTGATACTTAATGAGTTTTAAATCTGCACATTGAATCTTGATTTGCATGTATACTTCCAAAATCCATTTTTTGTTTTGTTCTAAGATCTAAATGAATCAAGTCTTTCAGCTTTCTAGACTTCATTTTTCTTACTTAATTAACAAGTAGGACAGATCTTGTTGCTGAGTTTCTTCCTGCTGCCACATTTGTGTCTTTGTTGAATTGATGTAATTGGCATTATTTCCAAGAACTTTTGGTCAAACCAGCATATTTGTTAAATTAACCCTCTTTAGGCGAACAGGCCTTGTTTCTCAAATCATCAGGGATTGACTAGAATTTTAGGTTCTGCCTGAGTCTTCACAATCACAAACTTTGGTCTTTAAAAAAGAGAAAGAAAGCCAGTTGAAGATTTCTTAAACTAGGCACACATTCCAAAGGAGAAACTAGAAACATTGGGCAGAATTGAGCTCCTCATAGCTAATGTAGGGCTTAATTTTTCCCAGTCTGAAAACCTGAACTGCTAGACCACTCTTGCTCAGTCTCCACTTGTATGTTTGCCCCACCAAACAGTTCTGTCTCATCTGGGTGTCCTGCCCTGTGGCACTTCCATTGTCTGAACATACTACTTTCTACATTTCTCTGCCCCTGACAGGAGCCACTGTATGTATGGATGATGGTACTGTTTCTGTAATGGCAAGGCTGGGGGAGGAGCAAGACCAAACCCTACAATACTCTGGCATTTAGAGCAGCACTGTCTAGTAGGAATATAATGGGATCCACATATGTAGTCTTAACTTTATAGTAACCACATTGGAAGGTAAAATGAAACAGGTGAACTTAATGTATTTTATTTAACTCAGTATACCCAAAGTATCACAACAGGTACTGAATCTTCAAAGTCCATACAAACGCTTCAAAACTTTACTAAGTCTTTTTTCATACTAAAGCTTCAAAATCCAATGTGTATTTTGCTTTTAGAGCACATCTCACAAAGTAACCACATTTCAAGTGCTCAGTAGTGTCATGTGACTATGGCTACCTTACGGATAGTGCAGATTTAGAGTTTGAGTAACACAGGCAATTAAGAGAACAGCCAGTGAAGTAGGAAGGAAACTAAGGGAGGGAATGTTTCCTGAAGGCGTAAGGGCTGTGTCTGGTGGTGATGAGAGGTGGGATAAGGTGAAGACACCCTGGAGGTCGTCAATTTTGTGTGAGAGCTGTTTAATGGAGAAGTGGGATAGATGCTGGATTGGAGTACTTTAAAAAGAGAAAGGGAAGCAAGGAAGTGGAGACTATTTGGAGAAGTTTTGTTGTGATAATGAGCAAAGGAATAGATGGGGTGGTAGCTGAAGAAGACTGTGTTAAGGGACTCTGGTTTTTGTTATTTTTGTTGTTTTAATGTGAGAGACTAGAATGTATGTTCATAAAAACAAACCACTAGAGAGAAGAAAGGTAGTCACTTGGGAAAGCAAAGGGACAGATCTAGATCCTAGAAATTCTAAGCATACCATGCTGTTGTCTTTTGGAGAACTTTTTTTTAGTGAAGTACAGTCAATTACAACGTGTCATTTTGTCAGTTTCTGATGTACAACACAGTGTCCTGTTCATGCATACACATCCATATATTCGTTTTCATATTTGTTTGGAAAATACTTCTAAGCTAATTTTTGTATTTTATTTTTCTTATCACTTTGTCATAATTAATAGAAACATTTTACTGGTTGGTCTTTTAATGTTAATTTTTAGCACAGAGAATACACACACACACAGTGTCAGCTATCAGTTTTTTCCCTTTTGTTTCTTCTAACTCCTAAATTTAATCTTTATCCTGGATTTGATCAATATTCACCCTCTCATTGGGTTTTCATATTTTTGTTTTCGTTGGTAATTTAAGCTTCATTCATCTAGAATTTATTGGAAGGAGGGACATTTTACAAGGTGAAGATCTAAGTTAGCTGCTTCTTTTGGTCAAATAGCTGAAAAATTGTCCAGCACCATTTATTTCCCTCCCTAGTGATTTGTGATGACTCTTTTATCGCACAGTTTCACTCCCGCTACTTTCCCTAAGTCTCTCCCACATCCATTTTTTTTTCTTTGTCATTGTTACCTATTCAAGAATAACCTTGGAATAATTTAGTCTGTTTCCAAAACAGTCCTTTTGGAATGGTGGTTGGGATAGTATCATGCCGATGTATTTTTTTAATGATGGCTGGACTGCATTTTCAAGAGCAATACTCTGGGAAACTCATTAAAATTTCAGTGGTAGACTCTCAGTTTAGTCTTAAGAGCAAAGAGTAAGGATCTGTGAGAGAAACTGAGGTATATTCTTTGCTGATTGGGTGAGCTCTCCTCTAGTTTGCTTGTTATCAGGCCTCTGAACTCTGCCTGGGTGCCAGTGGCCCTCTGTCACCTTGCTTTTCCATGTATTCCCCAGGCTAGCAGCAGCAGCATCACCTGGAGCTTGTTAGAAATGAAAAATTTCAGACCACACCCCACATCTACTAAATCAAAATTGTACATACAAAAGGATCTTATCATAGTGCATTTTCAGTTTGAGAAACATTTAGTCAGCTTAAGTTTGGTAATCAGTTCCCCTGTAGGGAATTGTTTTGCACCAGTGCTACTGAAATTTTATTTTGCAGATGGATATTGTCCTTACAAAACTACTTTTTCCCTTCAACGTGAATTCTAAAATAAAGCTTGCATGATTTTTCAAAAGGATAACTGTCTTCCCAAATATACAGCTCTTCCAAGAAGACTCCAGGCCTAAGAAACAACAGATTCATAAAGGGTTTGGCCAGAGCCTGTGAGTCCACTTTCATGATCAAGTACACATGTTGGAGTGGTAACTGGAAAATTCCTTCAATTTCCCTCCTGTCTTTGATGCCAAAGAGAAAACTGTTAGTAATACAGTATCAGCATAAGTCTGTTTATTACTTCATAATAGCCATAGATTATGTGAAGCATCTAGGTGCATTAGAGTACAGCTTTACATTAAAGAAGCAAATAAACCAGTTTGTAATGCTGGCCACTTACACCCAGCTATCAGTGAACTGAAAAATCAAAGTACTTGGATATAATAAGATTCTCTCCTCCCAAGGCTTATCAAATACCAAAATCTAAAGCTAAATTCAAATTTTTTATATTTTTATGTCAGAATGAGGTAGGTGAAGCCTTCCTCTTTGTTGGGATCTACCACTATCAACTGCCAGCCTCACACCAAGAGTTTTCCCAAGTCTAGCCAACCACAGCAGTCATCGAAGCAAGGAGCATATGCTCAGCAAACGTCTGTGTCCAAGTCCAGGTGCTGGAGCAGACCTCTGGTGTGACATTTATCACAGTTGGTTTGGCAGGTGCTTCAGCAGGGAAGATACGTTGTCTGGGTGTGCACTCCAACCAGTGTACAGTACAGTAGCAAAGAATCTAGAGAAACAGATATTCCTAGTCCAGTTTCATCCTATGGGTTTGGCTTCCAAACCTGTATTGTATATGAAAAACAAGAGCTAAGGCAAAACCAGTCTAACCACTGTCCTATTCTTTCACAGCATTTATATATCTTTTGTGAGCCTTTGCTGCTTCTTCTTAACAGGTCCACATTCACTGAAGTTTCCTGGGCACCCAAAACAGTGCCTGAAATATATATATATATCTGCATATATATATATATATCTATATATATCTCTATTTGAGTGCTTAGTAAATATTTGTTTACTGAAAGAACTTTGTTAATAGAATTGAATCAAAGAATGTAATCTCAGCCTAAATTCTAGGTTATTAGTGTCCTTTAGAGCTTGTCGGTTACCACAGTGAGGATCAGAGTGGATAAGAATAGGTTCTTAATAAATTGAATTCAAGTTTCAGTACAAAAAAGGTGTGCACACTAGACTTCGTTTTTGACAGGTTACACCAGAATAGCTTCGAAATGAAGTGACTGTTGTCTTCCAGTCGTAGCTTTTAAAAAGCAAGCTCTCACCAAGCTGCCGACATGATGATAGAAGTGCAACCTTGAGAAGTAGCTGATCTGGAAAGTAATTTGATCGGTCTTTTGGGCTTTTATATGCTTTAGCGCAATAATTCCATTTCTAGATGTTTATCTTATGGAAGTGATCATAAGGAAAGAAGTGATCCAAACTGCAGATAAAATTTTAGGTAGTTAAATGTGCTAATAAAACAAGGTGTTGATTTATGACATTCTTATAATCAAATAATACAGCTTTGAAAATATTTTAAGTGATATGAACAAAGCCATTTTCACATTCAATAACAATTTTCTAAAACATTCTACTCTTAGAACATAACAGAATTTACAGACAAATACTTTTTAAAATTTTAAGTAATTACATCTGTTAGTTAGTTACTATCAGGAAGGATTGTTTACCATTGACTAAGCAAAGATTATTGTTCTGATTGGATGGACAGTACTGACAACTTTATCCAACCGATTAATGTTGCAGTCTCTCTTACATGTAGCTACATCATCCTAGTAGGCCCCTCATGGTGTAATATGTTTTAGAATCATATTTTATGGGAGCCATACTGAGGTTCTTTAGGAGGTGGCTGATGATACCCGCCCTTTACATTTCCAGGGCAAAGATATTTTTTCCTGCTCACTAGCCCTGATACCAGTACTTCGACCAAATACATACATGGCCACTTGGTTTTGGTTCTTTCCTGCCAGTAGTTTCGCCCAGAGACTTTCTCATGTACAAGTAAACAGCTTATATTCTTGCAAAATATTCTAGGCCCTCAGCACTTCCTAACAAAATGTCCCTTAAACTTTTGAGTGTCTTTTTGAATCATTACAGATTATATTTCAAATACATGTTTGAAAGTTCAATATCAAATTGACTGCTTTCCATTTTCTTTCAAAAAGCT